TTTTGGGGGTTTTTTTGTTTTGTTTTGTTTTTTTAAACACGAGGCCAATGTGATGATGTCATGAGGTCTCCAACTTATCTATAAGTCCATCACCTCTTGGAAGGAGTCCCAGCTTCCATCCTGCTTTAACATGCATCCTTTCAGCGAGGGATCACAAGGTTACAAAGCACTAAGTCTCTTGTTAGAAGGATCTGTTAGTTTTACAATGCTAGGTTACACATCTGGTGTGTTTAAAGATAAATGCTTATGCAACTTAAAAATACACATTGAAAGCATATAGTTAAAGTGCACATAGTGTTCTTTGCCTTATCTTGGGCACTCCAGATGCTGGATTCAATTCCAGTGCAATTTTTGTGACTGATGTGGCATCAGTCATGGGGACACTGTTAGAAAAGACTAAGACATACATTAATGTGAGACACCTCAGTGCACTGACCAAGGTCGAAGAACATCCACTGTTGAGAACTGCTGCCTCATTTTTGGAACTGTTCCATTTTTGAAAGGGGTAATGAATAAAATAATCTTTCTGAAAGCCACCTTAAGGCTCTTACAATCCTTTGCAAAACATTACTGAGATATGGTAAAGACAGATCACCTGTTCTAACAGCAATGGCTTGTGAACACATCTAAAATGAGCATTATCATTGAGGTTTGTACACAGAAAGGTATGTACACAAGGAGAAAGGGAAAGATTTGCAAGTTTGATACAGTAGCTGAAACAAAAGAACACCTAAGGAGGAATGGAGAGAGACAAGAGAGATGATACCCAGGCAAAGCAGGAGTCTAGGATGAGGAGAAAACGGGAGAGACGCTTATGGGGAAAAGCCTCTTTTGTGGGAACAGAATGGACTTCTTGCTCCTGAGAAGGAAAAATAAAAACCAATGATTTACTGATGAGGCTGCCAGTGATGTTGGAGATGAAATTCAGTTAGCCATTTTGAGGACAGCAGCTTCGGTCAAGTGAAGACGACAGAAAACAGACCACCAGGAATTAAAAAGAATGAGAGAGCAGAGTGCTCACCCATCACTTGTAAAGGCAAAGAAGAGAGAGACAGGGCCTTGGCCAAATGAAGTGTCAATGGGGATTGAAGGGATGTGAGAAGCAACAGCAAGTGTGGCAAGAGATGCGTATCATAAGCCTGCATAACTGAGAACAACAAAGAGGAAGCAAGATGGAGATCAGGCCAGGGATAAGGAGGGAAATGAAAAAAGGAAACGAAATTTGTCATAGTAAGAGTTACGATAAAAGTACCAGTGCTTACAGCAAGGTTTTGTATAAACCATGTCAATAAGCTGCAGTGGCACTGATGGCCCCTGCATGAACACACTGGCACTTTTATCTAGTGGTACTTCTGACTTCCCTCTATTCTCAGCATTGTGCAAGCATATATACATTTTTATGTTTCCTGGCCCTGCCCTTCTCACATCCTCTTTCCACTAAAATCTCCTTGCTCTTCTTCTAACAAAACTGCTATGCCTGTTCAACTTCCAGTGCTGCAAGTCCTCTGGCAGTGAAGAATATATTGGTTTATCACAACAAGGTCTTACCAACTATAGAAGCTGTAGATATAGGGGCTGAAGGATCTTAAAAGAATAGCTAAAAAACATTACCACTTTTGGGTGAACTAGGGAATTCACTCCTCATTGAGCTGACTGCTCCAAGTAGACTGCACAGGATGAAGCAGTAAAGGCAATATAAGGAGCAAATTAATTAACAACCGTCCTTTAAAGCAGCTGATTTAAGACCAACCTAGAGTATTTCTGAAAAGCTGAAAACTCAGTCAATACTACTTCTTCTGTAGTTTTGCTATTCTGACAAAAACTGTTCCTCTAAATTGCCTGTCAGAAAAAGCCTTATGCCTAGCTATCAGCAGCCAGTAGCTGGAATATCTTCAGGATTTTCACAGCACCTAGTAGCCAGCTCTGGCAGGACAATAGCAAAGCACACACACAAGCCTCAGTCCCAGCTCAGGGCTAGTGGAGTTCCTGTTGGCATAGCCTTCTGTCCATAGTATTCAAAATGCAATTAGTCTTTGAGAGGTAGCTGTATGAAAGTAGTGCCCCATTTCACATGAAAATCTGTGCCCTTTGTGTCTCCAAGTCAGATTTGTTTCCTGAGAAAAGCTATTTTGCAGTGCTAGCCACCTCACTGCAGAGTCATTACAGCAAGAGGAGAACTGGAGTCTTTCCCATGCTTTTTCATTAATAACGGTAACCTAGTCAGGCCTGTCTAAACTCAACTTTTTGCTATCACCAGGAGACACAGAAAACTGATTTTCCACATCATATTGCATGTGTGCCGCAGCAGGCAGTCTTTTGACTATAACAAATGATTAAGAATGTATTTCCACACAGCAGCTCTCACTTTTAAAAGAACTTCAACTATTTTACATAGTTCAAGAACAGTAAAAAATGTGTAGCCATTAGAAGCAAATGGGCACATATACTACACAAAAAGTCTGCATGTTTTGATGAGAAGTGATGCAATGTATTTCCCAGAGGTACTAAAAAATAGCCTTTTATTTTTATAGCAGAAATGGTGCATCAGTATGGCTTGCACAGAGTCCCTGTACTGAGTTAAAACACACTCATCATACCCCAGTTTACAATCTCTGTGTAACTATCATCATCGATGCTACATATGTCAATAAATGCCGTGGGAAGCATGCATTAACATCACACTAGTGTAAATCCATTACAACTCATGCGATTTTGCGTTGCTCTGGGGTCACTGAGATCAGCATCTTCCAGTGATTTTCCCTCTCTCCTCCCCCTCTCTCTCCTTTGACTGTAGCATAAGCTTTTGTAGCCATCCCGAGTTGTTTGAAGAGCAACAGATATATAAGAACACAGAAAAAATTATTTCTGCCTCCACCTGGTACACTCACAAGCTTTTGTTTAAAAGGCACAGGCTTTTACAGAATTATTCATACCCCTCACAGGTTTTGCTGCTACATTTCCTAAACAGCTTACTTTTAAACAAACGGAGCTCTACATACAACGTTTAGATGAATTAACAAGTCCCTGTCAAAAAGATTTTATGTGGCTTCCTGCTAACTCCTTTCAGGAAAAAATGTAATAGATAAGAAGGAACCACTACTAAGAAGCAAAGAAATTTTCTACTGTTAGAGAAATCTTTGGGATTTTTTTTTTTTTTTTTTAGAGATGGAAGAGGAAGGGAACAATTTACTGGTATATCTAAAAAATATAACTGCTTTTCTACTATTATCTATTATTTTCACATTCAACCTGCAGTGAATTCTACAATTAAAGATGCAATTGATGGAGTCACATATTCACAGCTCTCCTACCTCCCCAGCTTTGTTCTGGTCATTAACAGCCAACCTAATTAGCAACAGCCACTCCACCTGCCAAAGATCACCTCCCGGTCGTGCCTGTGCATCCATCGATCCATCAAAAAAGGGTCCTGAGCGGGGACTGCCTAACTATTAAGGTGAGGCGAAGTTAACTGCTGTTGCCAGCAGCACGCGGGCGTGGAGGGAGACCGCCGCCATGCCATGCCATGCCGTGCCATGCCATGCCCTCCCCACAGCCGCAGGGCACCAACTCTGCCCAGGCAAACCCGCTCCCGCCTCCCCCTCAGCTTCTTTCGCGTTAAGGGAGCGAAGCACCGAGGCCCAAACGACTCCCGCCTGAGTCAGCGCAGGGCTACGGATCTTCAGTCAGGTTTAGGGCAAGTGAATGGCTTTCTTCTCCTCTTTTATCCGTCCGGCTCACGGGAAAGGCAAGGCGGGCGCGGGCTGCGCAGCAGGTAAGCGATGCCCATTTCCACCCGGCGCCTCCCCCCTGGCTGCCGGGCGCTGCCTCCCGCCTCCTCCGCCCCTCGGCACCCTTCCCCAACGGCCTTCAGGAAAATTACTTCACCGGCCAGCATCTGTAACAGTATTTATTCCTGGTAGCGCTGCTGTATTTGGCACGAAGGCGCCGTCTCCCTCGCCGGGGAGCTGCTGGGGCACTGCTGGCCCCGCTCCTCGCTCTCTGCCTGACGCCGCCTGCCACGCGGAAGCCTCCTTCCCGGAGGCGGGAGGGGCCCCTGCGGAAGAAACACGGAAAAAGTCCCAAAACTTCCAATTCAGGAGCGCGAGAAGTTCACCAAGAGGCAGACGCCAGCGGGAGCCGCCGGGGAGCAGCCCTTCCCCTTCCACCTCGCAGCCTTTCAGGCGGCAACACAGAAACTTTGGTTTACAAGAAGCAGAAACCTCGATGGACGCCCTCCAACCCTCTCCCAGCGCCAGCCGCTGACCCGCTGCTGCCTAACGCCTCTCTCCCCGCCTGCCCCGAGCCCCCCGCCCCTCACGACATGGCGGCCGCCAGGGGCGAGCGAGGCGGGCAGCGGCCCGGCGACCCTCCTCCGCTGCTGGCCCTTCCCCGGCACTCACCGCGGCGGCGAAGGGACGGAGACGAGGGGAGGAGCGGGGCCGCGGCCGGCCCACGGGTGCTTCCCCCCACGCCCGGCCCGCCGGGAAGGAGCTGCCGCCCCACGCACGGTCTCTCCTGCGCGGCGGGAAGCGGCGCCTCCCCACGGGGGCATTGCCGAAGGCCTCTTCTCCCGCACGGGCACCGCTTTTCCCTCCCCACACCGGCGTGGCGGGAGGCCCGCTCCCCCGAGAGAGGCGCGGCGGAGGCCTTCCCCCGGCCGCAGGAGCTCCCACCATTTTCCTCAACGGGAGGTCGTCAGGGTATTATTTTCTGTTTTCTTCTTGCCAGAGTAAAACGACCCATGTAAAAGTTCAAAAGCCCAAAGGAGCGTGGCGGTAAGGGTAAAGCAAAATAAGTGGTGCTGATGTTCAGTGCGTTCATGCATAGTTTTGCCCCCCATCATGAAATTATGTCCATTATAAAAAACAAATAGCCAATGGAAGTTCCAGTGACATTTCCACATCGCCAGCTTTTGCTCACACAAGCAACACTGATGCTCTTGAAGCATGCATTGAACAGACAGGGGAAAGGTTTGGTAATCACAGTTCTGTTTACTCCGTTTCAGACCAGACAGTGCTAATACAGAAAGTACCATGTTCTACTGTAGTCACCATGCCCAACTCTGGAAACGGGCATATGACATTAGGACAGCACCTATACATCCCTGGCAGAAGTTTACAGAAAAATTTTATGCACGGCAGACATGGTAAGTTTGTTACTTTGTCATTTGTTTATCTAAGCAGTCACAGAGTGACACACACCCCTCTGCGTGTCAAGAGAAAAAAAATACACTGTACAGAAGATAAGCCAAAGTTCAGTTGTTTGACACCTTCCAGGTTGTCAATTTTTTCTTGTCCCCCACAAACTAACTACAAGGGTTGCCAAGTACCATGAAGATACATACTCTAAACCTTACAAGAGCTTCCAGTTTTGCAGGAGATTGTGTCAAAGCTGTAGAAAAAAAGAGGCCACATCTATTCATCTGGAGTTTGACAGACAAACAAAATCAATAAACAAATGCACCAGGACTCACAGGAGAACTGCCTGATTTCACTGGACATGAGACCAAGGCCTAGATAAGCAACAAGCCAGTCAGAAAGGTAGTTTAAAAAACTTTGGAATTATCTAACTAAAATGCATTCCTTAAAATCTGTTGGTTATACCCAACCAGTTCGCCTACTAGACATAGAAAGGATGAGGCCATTATGCTTTGAATGAGACCCTTTGCTGGATGTTGTCTTCAGGCCTGGGTTGCCTTTTGGACTAACACTTAAAAACACGGAGACAGTTAAAAAAATATTACTTTTCTTTCTTTGTTAACTATGTAAACAGAAACAGGAACTCCATAGCTTCAGAGGTTGGGCTTTAAACCATTAAGAGAAGCAGTGGAGGAACAAGTTTAGTCTTGGTTTAGAGTTTTGAGTCTACTTTGCATCTAACAAATATTTGAAATGCTTGATAATTGTGTATACAACATTTAAGAACAAAGGGCCTAATCCTGCAGCCCTTACTCCTCAGAAGGCAGCAGATGCCAATACTCAAGATGGCCTTTTTCTTTTAAAAAGGTCAGTAAACAGGATACCAAGCACAAATTTGCATGCAGCACTGTATGACAATTACAGAAAGATAATTTCTAAGTCTGCAAAAACTTCAGCATGTACTCAAGTTATACATACAAAGCAAAGAAGTTACCAATGTCAGTGTGTCTTCAGACTGCAAATTATGTCTAATGGCTTACTGTAGATGCACAGCAAACTCATCTCTTCTTGATAAATAAAGAAACTGCTGATCAGCACAGTGAGGAGAGGTATCTAAATCAAGGTGAATGGCCAAGCAAGTGCAGAGGTATTCTATGCAGAATTTATCTTCTTTGCTTTAATAGCAGCTTCAATCTCTTCCATGATTGGCACCGGCCCTGCATAGTTATTAGTTTCAATAGCTTCTAATTTCTTCTGATAGTCAGCTGGCAAGCCATTCTGTTTTGCACCCATGCAGATAACCTATAATCAAAAGGGAAAGAAAAAAAAAAAAAGCCTTCAATAATACTGTTAGGAAGGACAGACCCCTCCAAACATTCACTTGTACGGGAAGAACTGCTTAAGGTAACAAGAGAATTAATCCCTAATAATGCTAGTTGTACCTAAAGTTAGCAAAAGGCTTCTGGAAGACCACTGAAGACATTAATAGCGTCAACAAAATTACTCTGAAAAGGCTTGTAACTACCAAGGCATACCCCCAAGATTCTGAGATGTTACTAACGTGCACAAGACTACAGTTAAGCTGCTATTCAGTTATTTCATTCTTTCTTCCAGCAAGGACAAGAACTACTTTTTATCTCTTTAGCCAGCCTTAGTATCACATCTGAGTGAGAAGCAGCGTATATTATTGAAGTTATTTTTAAAACTAAGCTGTTCAAATCCAAAGCATAACAGTGAGTACCTAGACAGGTTATAGGAGTAACAGAAACAGATACTTAGCTTAGTGGAAAAAGCACAGATTCCTTAGAGTTTGTTACTGCAGCTTTCCTTCTACATACAAAATAAACTTAAGTATTGGTGAAAGAGAAAAGAAGTGATTGTGAGAGGAAAAGAGGAGGCTGTAGGAGCCAAGACTTGAAAGAGACACCAGCAAATTCCCATATAGAAATGAATAGATAAATACACAGATTTTAAAAGCTGACACTATTGTAAATACTCTTTCATGCATTCAACATCCAGGAGATTCAAGGATGAGGCATCTAGAAAGGATGAACTTTGCCACAGAAAGTACACAACAGTAGATGGATGTAGATCACTGTGTGCCACCTGTACTAAATTTTTAGCCCTCCTGCCTGGTTAACTTAAATAAAAGTTGGGGGCAGGGGGGAAGAAGAGAACTAACAACTGACCCTGATAACAGCAAGAGGGAATGTTTAGCTAGATGAAGTTGCCAAAATTGGAGGTCTGCTCTTACAGCATACTAGCGAGAGCTGACACACAGTAGCAGACTACGTATTAACTCCCTAAAAAGCCCTAAAGATCTGTCTTGACAGGAAGAGGGTTGACAGAGAGGAGGTTTGTGAAGTAGCAGAGCCTGCTTTCTAAGCAAGCTTTCTCTTCAGAAGTCCTGCAGCAGCCAGCCTTAGCTATGCTCCTGGAAGCTGATTCACAGCAGCGAGTTCCTCAGTTAAGAGAAGGCAGCACACTGGGGATTTAACAAGCTCAGGCCCCGTTTCTTTGCTTTCAGTAGAAAAAGCCAACATGTTACAGTGATGTCTATCTGCAATTGCTACGAGCTGCACAATTCCAGACATGCAGTCATGCCACCCCAGGCTAGGCCTGCATCAGATCTCACAAGCTAAGCAGGTCAGGCCTGCTGCGTGACAGGATCATGTGTCTCTACAGTCAGTGTGTTGCAGAACAGTGTTGAAACACTTCTGCCTCACCAGCCATCAAGTGGGAACCCTGCAGTGCTCTGCAATGTTGCTGGAAGTCCTGTGATGTACTGATGATGTATCTGGTAAAAGAAGGCAGGTGGACTCCTATATTAAATGATAGCAAGATACTTCATAAGACAATAAGGATAATCCATGTCCTTGAGACTACAAACCAGGCACTGTATTCTCCCCACAGAAGCTTCCCTCTATCCTTTTAGTGGAGTACATTAATTTTTCAAACAGAGAATTGCTGCATATATGTAAACAACATCCTTCAGAAATCCTTGTGTCAGTCATAACTAATTCACGAGTTAAATAGAGGCTTCACGTAAAGCATAACTGAGCCAAAAAATAAAATTGGTTTAGTAGGCCTTTAAAAGCTAACAATCTTCTGCGAGCATCATTACAGTAGTACATTGCACAAGGATTAAGCTATACCTTTACGTTAGTTAGTCATGCCTTCCATCCCTGTAAATACAGTACTTACTAAACAGGACAGAAGTACTGATTATATATTTCTGTTCATTCTCTCCAAAATTACAGTGATGCAACACCTACCCTTTTATACTGAGGAGAAGGGGGACCACAGACATAGTCCTTCATCTGGTAGCTTCGACAGGTCAGTACCTTTCCTGCTTGAGTGTGGACATTAACTTCTATTGGGACATAAATGCCATCTTCAACTCCCTCTTGCCTGTAAAGGACATGTATTCCTTTCATGCCAAATAACTGATGCATCTTTCAAACAAACTGTGCAATTAAACATATGCATTTATTATAACAGAATTCAAGGCAGGACAGTGGTCTGTGCTGTTAACAGACTCAAAGAAAAACAAAGAAAGCAAAACATATTCCAATACTTTGTACAAACTTGTTTCATATCCAAAAATAAGTTTCTAAAGAAGCAGCAGCATTCACTTTTATCATTTCAGCTCTGTAAGAAAGATGACTAGTGGTTAACTTGCAAAGTTAGAGAGAGAATATTCCTTGTGAATTGATTACTGTGCACGTCTGGTAATCTACAAGAGAAACACAACCAAGATTATCAGAATTAACAAACCAGGCACACATCATTCATTACCTTCCACTCAGATAATGAAACAATTAAAGTTTTATCTTGTCCATTGTGTTACACTTGAATAAGGGGAAACTCACACAACTCTTGCAATGCACATTCCAATGAATAATCCAAGAGACCCTTTAATTTGCGCAAGATGTGTACAGCAACAATGTGTTAGATCAGGGCAAAAAACATTTTGGTTTTTTTTATTAGCAAAATCATGCTATGCTGTCTTAGGAAAACAAAACCAAACTCAAAACCAAGGCTACTTCTTGTCTTTAACCATTAGCATTTAGCCACCAATAAGTCTGAAGAAATAGTAAGAAGTAAACGAGAAGCTTAAGCAATACGAGACAGACTTTATAGCACAATTAACTTTAGATGTGCTTTAGATATGAGTGATAACATGAGTTTTAATGCTGCTCATCAAAATATCATTTTGACAACTTATCTTTCTTTCAAAGATGTACTACCATTTCAAGTTATTTAACATACACAACACGGGCCATGTTATGTGAGTAACTAGGTTAAGTGCAAGTAGAGACTGGAAGCTAACTGCAGATTCAGGACCAACAGACTGCAGAATAAGTCACATGGGTGTGTGAGAGCAAGAAAAATGTTACAGTTAAGTAATGTCCATAGCTAGGATATATGAGGAAAAGTCATTATTTAGTCTGTAACTTACAGATTTGTGAAGTACAGAGGACAAAAAAAAAAATCTGACCACGAGACAGCACCAAAATGCATTTGAAGCCAAAAAGTTCAGCCATCTAGGCAAAAGATTCCCCTCCTATATTTGTTTTCTATGTATTATGTTGTTTCACTAGTATTTCAACCAACAACACACAGCATCAGTTACACATTCCCTCCTCTGCTTCTGGATAACAAAGCACAGACTTCTTTATACAGATTGGGGTGGGGGGGGAGCAGGAGGGGAGCAGGGCAAATAGTGAAAAAATTTTTTTCCTTGATACATGGAAATTCCAGGAAATAACTTGGTTGAGAGCTTACAAATATATCTGCTTGTACACAGCCAAAGAATCCCAAGATTTTCTGCAGGAACACACACAAGCTCTTTCAAGTTGGTTAGTAGCAATCCTTAGAAGCATACTATTGACAATTGTTATAAAAGCCAAGAACACATCCTGTTTCCTTCCATTTCCAGTCCACCTTCATGGCATCAGTGAGGCAGCTGGGAAAAATCAATCTTTAATGCTAGTGTACATCCTGCAGGTTTTGGTGATGGTGTAGCACTCAACTCTCTAGCATCTTAGTCAGCATTAAAGTTTGTCAAAGAAATGCCAGGGATGTGCAATTCTATGGTATGTAAACAACACTTCTAGAAGTTAAAATACAAAATGCTGTACCCATAGGGGGAACACCGTGTTACTATCAAAGCAGATGCTGCCAGCCAGCATCTTTATACTTCTGAAGTTTACGCTTTAGGGAAGCATGGTAAATCAGGAGATTTCAGTAAAGGTCAGCAGAAAGGGGACCAGGAGGTAAGTGCTAGTGTAAGCAACAGAGGGGAAACTGAGGAGATAATAAAGCAGGGACATGTGAAGCTCTTCCCAACCAGAAGCATACCAGCTAGATGCCCTCCTGCTTGCGACTAACACTCCCAACCAGGACTTGAGAGTGCTGAGAGTACCCTTTCCCATGATGTGCTAACAGAACTTGGGCAGCAGTTTCTGTTGTGTTTCAGGTTCACTGTAGGCAATGAAAAGCAAGTTGGAACTTCCAAGTTTCATGGCCAAGGTTATAAGGACATGTCTGTGCAGCACAGTGCAGCCATAACCAAAATTGGAACAGTACTAGAGGCAGGAGAACTGTGTTAATGTAATGTCTTCAGTGGGTTTAATATGCCCTTCTTCCTTAGCTTCACTAGCCCAGATTTCTACTGGAATTAATTGGTAGTGATGAATTGCTTTAAACAAACGATCCTCCTGTACCAGAAGCACCATGCTGTGCAGGCACATCCTGAAAGCTGCAATAAACACATGACACCAGCCAAAGTTTTGGAGATTAAGTTTAAGTCCTGCCTTAGACCCTGCAAGAAGCTATGCTACTCCTTGATTTGTTTAGCCAGGTGGTCCTCCAGACTTCAGCCTGGGAATGACTTGCTCAGGTTGCCTTAAACTTGTCTTAATTATCAGGCACAGGCAGAATATTCTCCACCATGCATTGGAATGGTGCAGGCAGCCTCTCCCATTCAAAGGGAAAAATAAAGCCACCCCAGCTCCCTGCTTGGATCTACCTGAAGTTCACAAAAGTTTGAATCCTCAGAAGACATGCAAAATAACTTCCTCAAAAGGTCCCTTTGCCTGTATTAAAGATTTCCTTCTCTTCTGCAATTCTTGTCCTCATCCCTTCCTTTTCCACTACAGTCGGAGTCTACAGATGTATAGAGACAGAAACTGATGTCAGTCTCAAAGGAAACTCTCCCTAAAGCAATGGGAAATGTGTCACAGGACAAATACAGAGTTTAGAGTAATTTAAGGGACTGGACACTGTGAGGACAGGGATTAAAAAAAAGGAGCCTGACCAATATATCAGCTCCAAATCAAGGTCCACACCTTACTAAATACCCCTAAGTAACTTTAGCTTGAACACAAAGCCATTTTAATCACAAATGTGTTAGAAGTCAATACATGTACTGTGAAGTGAAATTCACATATTAAAATCCAAGGCATCTTCTTGATTCCAACACCAAAGCTTCCACACAGCTCTTTACCAAAAATTAACTACAACTTTTCAATTGGCCTCTAAAATAGTAGAAGACAGCAAAAGTTAAGTCACCTACTTATCCAGTGAACTTAAATTGCTAGTGTTCATTTTCCACACTATTCCCCACACTTCGTCTCCAGGGCTCTCAACAATGGTAGCTGTACCTCCATGCCAGACAGAACTTGTCCTGCCTTGATGATGGCCAAACTCGAGCTTAAAATCCTGCAAATGAAACCAATGCAGAGAATCAATTTCCACTTCAGATAAGGGCTGTTGGCTATTCTTGGCATGAGAGGGGCACCTAAAGGAAAGTCTACAAGTAATCAGCTGGAGCCACAGAAGGAAGAATGGACAGGCAGGATCTGATCCAGCTCCCATCTCATGAGGGGCTGAAGTCAGCCTTTTCCACCTCCCCATGAGAAATGGCAACCTTGGGACAAAGGGAAGAGAGTTCTGGCAGAGAGCACTACTGATAAAAGTCTTGGTCTGTGGAGACCTGGATCAACATCCAAACCTCTTAGTAGTTTGGCCTAAACATTAGCTAACAATTTCTAGCTGTTGAGAAGAAAGTGGAGGTAGCCCTTTTTCAAAAGTAGCACACATACCCAATTCTACAGTAAACACAGTAGTGCTAAAGAAATGTCAGCATGACTTTTGTCCAGGTTGGCAGTAACAGGATTGCTGATGTGCTTCCCGTTAGACAATCTGAAGGGCCCTTGGCTGACGTGTACCTTGAAGGAGGGAACTGACTCCTACCACCTTCTCGTTCCTCAAAAGACATGCCTACCAAACACGCATTCCTTTGCAGCGTTTGGTGCTGTTATAAGACTTAAATACTACCATGCAGGGTCCAGGAAGATAGTAAGGGTAAAGCCTACAAGATGGTGAGCTTTGGGTCTTGTCCTCATGCACCAATGCAACTGCCCAATACCATCCTGTGTATTTTCCAGTGTTTTGTGCCATCTCATCACTCAGCTGAAACATTCTTGGGTAATTTTAAGCCAAGGTGTACGCTTATTCAAGTGAGCTTATTCAAGTTTTTGCAAGTTGAAATATTGTTTTAGAAATCAAGTATCTCTTTTTCTTACAAGTAATATCAAATATTACTACATAGGCAAAAGAGAATAACAGGTCCTTGCATCTTTCCAGTATTATTTCCCATCTGACTCCATACACTCAGTTTCCTCTCCTACTTGTTAGCCAATTTGTGGATCCTTCCTAGCAGTAGAGAAGGGAAAGAAAAAAAATACCACTACCAAACTTTAAGGAAGACTACCTGCTTAACCACAACAACGAAGTCCGGCAAAAGCAAAAAGGATTAAAAACAACAACAAAAATAAAACCCAAACCTGTACAACCCCACAACTTTGCTTATTTCTCATGATCACCCTGTTTAAGCTATAAGATAATTTTAATTTGAAATATAAGTGTGTGCATATTAATATTCACTTTTTGAGACTCATTACCTTCTTGTAACGTGTCCTAACAGATACGGGGAAAAGGTTGCAAAAGTTGAGCAGTTGGAGGCTTACACACAGCACTGATCAGAACGCTAATTTTGTGTGTGTGTAAGTAACAATCAGCAGCCTGGCAAAGCCATACTGTTTACTCTGTCAATAGAGTCATCTTCTTTCCCCATAAAATGTTCCCCATTAAACTAATTTTACTAGAAAACAGTCTACTTAGACACACTAGTCATCAACCATTCAACAAGCTGCTGCAAAACGGCTTTGCAATATTCAGGTGACTGGATTACTGTGTGAGGAGGACTCAGGACTAGACCCTGCCAGACAGTCAAGTCTGAGTAATATGCACGGAAGTAAATAGTCCAAGGAAAAACTCCTGTCGAGCCAAGTATGCTCACAGCAGTCTACTTAAAAAAACCCCAAACAAACAAACAACCCCACAAAACCCAAATGGACCAATTTTTATTTTATTCCTCCAGTTATATTTTCTTCAACCTGACCTGCACTGAATACCTGCAAGGAGGTGTATAAAACAGTCAGATACCACCCAAGAAGGTAAACGGAGACTGCACAGAAATAGCGCAGTTAGCTGCAGTTCTAGAAGCAGGAAACCCTACGTTACGCCATACAGGCAACTGCAGTGGGCACTGCAGGGAAGAGGGAACAAACACACTAGATACTTTCTTGGGCCAAGAACTTGGTCTTTGGCCCTTCTAAGTACTAGTGTAATACCCCCTTCTGTGCTTGTCATACATCCTATTTCTTACAGCTGTTGGCTAAAGATTAACAAAGCTTTAAAAGTAAAAACAGAGGGAAGCGAATTTAATACTTCACTTTAGCATCCAAAGTACTCTGTTTACAGGCTGTTTTTCCTTTTTTTAAGGTGACTTAGTGGTACTACCATAGAGCAATTAACAGAAATCAGCTCCGACCTTTGTGCCCTTCCTCACTCCCAAGCATCAGTGACTTTCCAGCTCAAAGGAAGGGAGCAAAGCCACCCGGTGTTAGCAGGGAGCGCAGCAATCGGGCAAAGGCCGGCTAGAAAAGCTAGCGCCTGACCGCCAGCTCTTGAACAGCTAACCTGCAGCGTGGCAAGAGGCGCTTAGTGTGTAACCTGAAAATCTACCTGAAACCCCGAGGAAAAGCTGAAGCATAGGGCTTGCTTTTATTCAAAGACAAGCACACAAGACTACTGCTTTCCTTCTCGCCTCTAAGGTCTGATCCTGCAAGGTGCTGGGCTCTCGGCATGTGCAACTCCTCAGTAGCACCTGTAAGCGCCTTGCACTTTACAGGAGCAGGCCTCAGTTGCCAGGCTGATAGTCCCAAGAGACACCAAGTACCTGACTGTAGGGAGTTTATTAATGACAAGGTTTGGGGACTTCTTCATACACTCTAACGTAGATAATTTCCTGCCAGTTACCCCAAGAGAACCTTCAAGTCGTCCTTAAGTGGTACCAATTGATGCTCTGCTCCTCCAAGGATCCTTCCAGTTGTACGGATCTGTACTTCAACAGCTTAATGACCATGAGCTCCTAACTCCAAGTCTGCATTAAAGCCGAGCTGATACACTAACGTGTAATAACCCCGGTGGGGGGAGAACTGCCAGGGCGTAGGAAGGCGTCAGCTGCAGGCGTGCGGTACTGGGTGAAAGCTTGCATCCCGCCCAGCACGCAGCACGGGGCAGGCTTCTCGCTCGTAACCAGCGTGGCAGAGGGGAAGGAGGAATTCTGATTTTTTAACAAAGCATCACCCTTTTAAAACTGCCAGAAACTTGTCCCATAAACCCAACTGAGCACCTGCTACTGGCATTCTCAGGTTCACAGCTTTCACTACTCTCCACGCGTGGGGTCTTGGCTGGCAGACTTGCGGACTGGGTTAGACCCAGTGCGACAAGCCCCGCAGAGGCGGGATAACGCAAACACTCCTTCGGCGGAGGGCGGCAGCCCCACGCGTCACGGCGCGCGCGCGCTGCCACGTTAAGGGCGACGGGACCCGCCCCCCCCCCGAACCGCGCTACGGCCGCCCCCGTCACCGGTCGGAGGGCTCGGGCGGCCTGCAGCAGCACCGGGCTCCGTGCAGCAGAGCCAGGCCCACGCGCGGCTCCACCAGGGCGACCGGACTTCCACGGGCCCCCG